CTCCCTACCATCCTGACCTTGCTCTGCCAGACTTTCACCAGTTTGGTTCCCTGAAAGCAGCCCTTCAAGGACAAAGAGTCACCTGTGATGAAGAAGTGAAGACAGAAGTGAATTTGTGGCTCACAGCTCAATCTAAAGCATTTTTCAATAAGGGAATATGAAAACTTGTTGACAGATGGACAAAGTGTATTGAAAATCAAGGCAATTGTGTCCAAAAAATGATGTATTTGTCTTTTATAAAAGTTAATTACAATAAATTCTATTACCAGAGTGCAGATAAGTTTTAACTCATCCTCATACAATCCAGCTTCTTGGACTATTTGCTCAGCATACAGATGGAATAGTGAATGATGTCTCTTCCATTTCCACCCCCTCGTTCCTGGACCCATGAATCCTAGCTAGTGGAGAGACAGCACCATATATTGGACACTGGTTTAGAGCATGTACAGCCTCTCAGAGAACATTGCTCCAACCCTGCAAGGTCTTGCCACCTAGCCAGCACCATAATTATGTCTTTTAAAGGTCATTCCACCATTCCAGAAAGCTAGCTCCTTCAGAAAGGTGAGGAACATGGTAAGACCTGTAAATTCCATGAGCCTGGACCCATTCTGTACTTCATTTGCATTGAAGGGAGTCCCTTGATCCAAGGCAATGTTGGTGGGATAATATAACGGTGGATAAGGCGTTCTGTAAGTCAGCAGATGACAGTTTTGGCAGAAGCATTGCATGCAGGGAAGGCAAATACATATCCAGAGTGTCTATTCCAGAGCAAAACTCTGCCCTGTCCATGATGGAAGTGATTCAATGTATTCAACCTGCCACCGGGTTTCTGCCTGGTCTCCCATCAATGGTTCAATATTGCAGACTCACTGTTGGTTTCTGCTGTTGGAAGACTGAGAACTCTGCAGTGGCTGTAGCCAAGTCAACCTTGGTGAGTGGACGTCCATGCACAGACTCCATCCTTGATACCATGACCACTTTGTCCATGAACCCATTGGGCAATGACAGGTGTGGTTAGAGAAAGAGGATTAGTAGTTTCCACAGAACGTGTCATATTATCCCTTTCATTGTTAAAATCTTTCTCTGCTGAGGTAACTCTTTGGTAAATATTTACATGAGACAAAAATAGCTTCACTCTCATGACCCATTCAGAGAGTTCTATACACATACCTCTTCCCCACACCTCCTTGTCACCAATTTTCCAATCATGTTCTTTCCAAGTCTCTGACCATCCAGCCAAGCCATCGGCCAGAGTCCATGAATCAATATACATCTTGCCATTTCTTCCATGCAAAATTAACAACCAGATGCATTGCTCAAAGCTCTGCCCATCGGGAGAATTTCCCTTCACAACTGTCCTTCAGAGAAGGGGTGACACCTTCTCTGGAGGGAAAGTGAGAGACCAGATTCCTCACCTGCTGGACTTAACTGGGTGGGAAGCCATTGGCAGTGGCCAGCCTAGATCCAATGCTTTCCCCACCGTTTCTTGCTATTGTTAAGTGCCCTCGAGTAGGTTATTTAATCATAGCTTTAAATCTTTGTGGGAACAGACAGCCTCATCTTTCTCCTGCGGAGCTACTGGTGGGTTTGAACTGCTGCCCTTGTGGTTCACAGTCCAGTGCTTATTCTAGAGACACACTGTGCTCCTTCACTGTTAATACTCAACAAATCCCTTCTTCTCTTTGGAATCAGTGTGGTTGCGTTGTTATTCTCATGACTCCATCAAAGAGAATCCACTAGATTCTTGAGGTGTCATCTTGAGGTGTCTGGCCACAGGTCTGCCCCCAGTCAACTACAAAGACTTTGCCTGACAGGACTCAGGGTGGAAGCCACTTTCGCCAACTAGACTTGGTGCACAGCCAATGCATGGCCACCTCTGAAGGGACTTCTGTCAAGGACCCAGACCCTCTGACTGGCCTTGTTCTTTTCACATATTCCCATTCCTAACCCCAGTGCCTCCATATTGAAATCTCTTTACAGAGGCCTATATATATATTTTTTTCTTTTGGTGGTTTTATTTATTTATTTTTAATGTTTTATTGTGAATTATGTGATAGTTTACATGGGAGAACATTAGTTTTACATTCATCCTATCATATATCGTTTCATTGCTATGGTTACAATCCCCTCCATGCATCATCAACCAACCAAAGGGTATACCCTGCAAGCCTGCCCCCACCCCACCCCCCAGTCCTCAGCACAAAGCCCCTCTCCTTCTCTGGGTCTAAAGTTCCCAGCTGCTCCATCTCTCCACGTCACATTCTCTGCCT